CATACCAGGGGGTGTGACTTTAAATATATATATATACATACACACACACACACACACACACACACACACACACACACACACACACACACATACAGAGGTGAAGTGCTACTGATTCAGACCAAGTAGTAAAAATGCTACTAGTTTGCCTGAACAGGTAGTAAAATAAATGAAACTGGTTCGGATGAACTGGTTTTTCTGATGATCAGCTGTGATGCACGATTTATATTAATATTATTATATTAATATAAATTGTGTGGCACAACAGGTTACCCCCCTTACTGTTTGCTCACCTTACCTTTTTGATGCTCTGCAAATGCGCAGGAGGTCCTGCGCATGTGTGATGTGCCATGCACGAGCGCTAGTTCACATTGCTACTGAACCGGTAGCAAAGGTAAGTGGATTTCTGCATACATAGAATTAGATCTTTAAATCTGTAAACTGGTAAATTGAATTACAATGATGTTGCTTTGAAGATGAAAACATAGCCCTGAAACCTAGATTGAAACAGAATTGCTAAATTAAAACTGGTAATGGACAATGGAAGCACATTAGAATTCATGTATGTTACAACAAAAGAAAAGATATGTTCGGTTGTGGCAACCCATTTGTGGAATTCCTTTGTCATTGTGGGGACAATCTTGGGAGGCAGGAGAAAAAGATGCTGCCTGGAAATGATCAGATAAGAGAAGGCATAGCCTGCAGTTGCATAACAGACAAAAAAACTCAGAAGGGAACAATTCTAATTTCTAAGGCTGTTAAAAAAGATGGCAGGAAATTTGTATAGTTAGACTTGCAAGATTAATGTCAGCCTTCCCAGAATCCTGACCAGCTAAGCTAATTCTACTTTACTGTAAGACTACATTAACAGAATCTTCCAAATCAAGCAACGTTACAATTGGAACAACAGTTCTCAGAATTCCTAGCAGCAAATACTGTGTGAACCAAAGCCAAAATTGACAATGAAGCTATTGACGAAACACATGTGTGACCTTGCCATTAAATATCTAGAGCTTAGCTGAAAGTCTGAACAACTGATAGAATAGCAATCAAAATCATAAATCAGATCTCATAATTTTCAGTGGAAAAAAAGGTCACTATAGATCTACACTAAAGAACAAAAAAAAACCTTTTTTAACCTTTTTTTTTGTTATCCAAAAATACCAGTCCAAAACTCCTAACATGTAGGAATTATAGTTTGCCTGCCTATATTCAGTTTTGCAATATATGCAAATACCTTATAAGATATGGAAATCTATAAATGAGATTTCCATGCAAATTATCCTAGCATTCAGCAATGTCATGATTCCTAAAATTCAGTGCATTTTTAAATGCTCAAAAGAATTTAATATAAAATGAAAGAAACAGTCTTGGGATGTTTATGTCCTTCCAAATTATAAGCAAAGAAATAAAGATGTTTTTTGAAAGACAGAACAGCATTATTTTATCCAGCTTGGCAACATTTTATCAGAGTAATGCAACTGTTGTTCTTCTCTTTAAAAGAAAAACTTATCCTCCAGGCACAATCTCCTTGCATCCAAACATCTTCAGCTTTGAAATAAAAGTTTATCTAATGTGACATATACCAAAACGAGGCTTTTGTTTGCCTCAACAGGGATTCAGGAAGATTGGTTAATGCAAGTAAGAAAGCCCTTTGGAAAGGATTCCAGCTGCTGCAGTGCCACAAACTCAGTTGAAAGCCTCTGAGAAAATAGCACAAGCAATGGATTGCAAATCAGGGCTAATTCTGGCAAGGCCTCATTACAAGTGGCAATGTGATTCTCAAAGTTCAATAAAGAAGAAGAGAAAAGAACAAACTTTTGCCATTAGATAGATATAATATATATTAAAATTTCTGCAAATCTGCTGCATAGTTTGCTAACATTTTAAGTGCCTGATGGTAATTCAGTTCTCAAGTCCAATATTGCCTTCACGGGCATTGTCAGTTGCATTTCCATGAAAAATAGGAGAACTACATTCATATTTTCATAGTAAATGATGAATGTGGACCAATGATGAAGAATCATTCTCTCCTCGTGGGGCTTCTCCCAAGTAAACAATAGCAACACAAGAGATCTTGGGTGGGAGATGAGCATTGTGGAGAGAGACACATTCATTTTTCTGCACATTCACTTTCTGCCACTGTTTTTATTTATTCCAAATTTTCTCTTCCTGCTTCACAAACATAAGTTACCAGCACATAAAACTCCAGTTACAGGAATTAGTTCTTCAAACTTAAGGAGATTGATAATAATTACTTGGACCTATCAGTTACACTGCCACATATTTACTTCTCCAACTTGTGCTGACTCTGAAGAATGTTCATAACCTTTAGTTGGTTCAGAATGATGTATCAGAATGTTAACTGAGGTCAGTTATGAAGTACAGTATACCTGATTCTAAGGTTGCCTTGTAGGACCTATAATGCTCCAGGATGCTATATATCAATAGCATTGAGACCATTTATCTGAAGGAGCAACTCCTCACATCACAGCCTGATAAAATGGCAAAATATTGCAAAGCATAAATTATTTTTCTGAAACACACTTGGTCAAGATTTCAGAGAGAATTCTCCTGTGCAACCATCAATATCTCTGTCAAAAGAAAATATTTTGTAAAAACTTTGGCTCCAGCAACCAACCCAACACATTGCTGGAGTGGTGTTTTGGCTCCTATTTCTGGTGCTTCCTACAAAAGCAAAACACAGGCAATGCAGGTTTTTTTAATCTGGAGATCCTCTAAGGTGATTTGATTCCTTGATGGAATTCCTTTCTCTTTCCAGAACAACATTTTCATATCTGCCTTCCAGTTGTCCATTGACCTCTGGAAAGAGTGAAGTTAGAATTGAAGGAGATCACTTTGGACTGTTTGTTTTTTTTAATCTACCCATTTCACACCATTAGCAATAATAATTTATACTTGGCACAAATAAAAGTACAGTTAACAAAATAATGACCACCAAACTCAAATACATATCTCTCTCAGGTCATGAAGGAGCCAAGACATATCAAAATGCTATACATATTTTCAAAATATTCAATATGCAGGCACCAAATTCACAATAAATACAGTACCATAATCAGAGGCAATGCTATCTATCTAACTGTATATTTGTGTATTTCATACAACTTTTGTTTGACTGAGCAGGTAAAGATGTGCAAATCTAGGTATATTTGCGTAGAGGTAAGTCCATGTGGATTCCCTGTGTATTTCTTAGCAGGTTTGTGATTACTGTATCTATGGATGAAAATTACTGTTACATACATACCACACACCAATAGCAATTCCACCATTAATTTTAGCTACCTTTTTGTTTTAGTTTGCTTAATATAAGCACAACTCTGTTAACTTTTCTATAACAATTACATAACAGTATGATCACTGATGTTTTAATTTGTGTTGGGAATGTTTTTGTATTAACATATTCCAGTAAAATCCTGTGCAAACATTATAGACAAAGCATTATCAAGTTAAACAAGCTATTGTGGAGTGTATGACACGTCATCACATGCAGTCTGGTCAAGCAGATGAATTGGTTCTAATAATATAGTTTCTGGCTCCAAAAGACAATTCTCTCAGGTATAGTTGTTGGAACACAGCAACAACTAGCACAAGAATCCCATGAAAGTTTATCAGAACAAAATACTGGTGAAGAGGGAATCAACAAACAGTATTTGAGATGCCTATGACTGCAATACGTTGAAAAGCTGTTGGAAATCAGGTGCCCTGGCATTAGTAAAATGCTTTTCATTAAGAAAGCCCTCGCTATATATAATTAGTGCTTAAAAGTTTGTTTATTAAACATAATTCTCATTGCAATGATACTATAAAAATCCTATCTACAAAAACAGGACACAAGCTATTTCAGATATTTTCTCTGCATTAACAAAATATACTTAACTTTTTTTAACACATTGTTGCTGGTGAGAGATTTTTTTTGTACATAATCTAAGCAAACAAGCTAAATTTATATATTAGTCTAAACCTTCCTCTCCAAAAAATGAAATGTAACACAACCTAATAAAAATTGTTGTGCTAATGTAGTTATTTGGGTTTTTAAAGAACAGTTTTAAGGATATAGAGCTCAGTAAAAATGTGTGACATCAGCACAAAAATTTTGAACATTCACAAAATATTTCACAATCATCAGCCATAGACACATTTTAATGCCATATATCTTCCTCTGTTTAATATCATATATCATTTCCCACTTAAAGGAGTTATATTTGAGTAATGATTTTAAAAGTTCTGTTGAAGAATACAAGGGTTTATTGAAGCTGAAATTGTTAAGATGTTCCGCCTCTTCTATCAAATTAAATCTCATGTGCAAAAAAAAATCCTTTGTATTTCCATAGTTTATAGATAAAGAGTGAATGAAATCAAGAATGTCAACATTGCTGTTTTCTCCCTTTCCGCTATATGAATCACTCAACTAAGCTAAGCAACATAGATGTAAGATTAGGATTTTAGCTTTATTGATTGAAATGTGGTGTGACTGATTGAAACATGATATGCTGGCCATTCTCTCTCAAACCTAACCATTCACAGCATTGTGGGTGGGGGGAGCCCTCTATGTACTTGTGCTGAGTTATCAAAACAAAGGCAGATGATCAATGTAATAGGTAAATTAATCATTGTTATACATTATCCAGTTGCCTACCTTTCTGTACACCAACATATTTGGAGATTCATCAGCGACCCCATTGCTGCTCTGTCCATAGTTATTTCCTTGTGCCATGTCTTAAGGCTAGGGCTCCTGGTAACTTTTTTGAAGAGCAATTAGCCTCTGTGAAGAATGAAAGTTATCTCAGTCAGTTATCTTTGGTAAACAACTCCTCATGTCCACAGTAGACAGCTCTAACTTTTTCCCAGTTCCTTAACACAAAGTGTCCTTTTCACTTAGCCCTGTGGCCCTGCCCCAACTCCTGCCTGAAACCAACGCAGTAATTTTCCTTCCAGCACCATCCAGCGGCCACTGGAAGTTTTATCTTCCCACCCCATTCTTGGCTAACCCAGCAGAGTTTGCTTGAATGGCCATTCAGGAGGCTTTAGCATCAACATCCTAGAACCAGCATCACGGTGATGTAAGCATCTTTTCTAGCGACGGTTGCTTCCCCCCCCCCCAACCCCCGGCAAAACAAAACTGGACTGCAAAATTCACCCTAAGTTTCAATCACTTCCCCGCAGCTTTGTTCAAAGTGGACCTACTTCTGTGCCACGTTAAAAAAAACAAAGAAACGATCCAACGCCTTTGACTCTGCGACAGTCAGCCACGTGCCTGCTTTCAAATCCACGTCCTTCCCTCCCAGGACCAATTTAAGGACCTGTTCTCTTCCTCCTCTCCTCGTCCTCTTCCACCACACTCTTCCATGACCCGGCCGCCTCACCAAGACACTCTGCGCCTCGCTCTTCTCATGTGAGTTGGAGGATCCGATTCGACTCTCAGAGCGGCCCTGGCCCCTCTAAGCCCGAACAGCCACAACACAAAGGTTGCTTGGCAGTCGTCGTCTCGCCGACTCGGTTCTACAGTGGTCCTCAACAGCTCTTCCCTTCCCTTCCCTTCCCTTCCTTTCCTCCTGCCGCCTCCTCCTGGGAGCAGCCTTCTTAGGCGGGCGTCTGCCTTGTGCCTTTCGGCAGCAAATGGCAGGCGCGCGAGATTGTTTTGCCCTGCAGTGAAAGCGGAGAAGCTGCCTGAGATTTCAGCACCGAGGACAGCGCCTAAGGCACCACCACCTCCTCCTCCTCCTCCTCCTCCTCCTCCCGCCCGCGGCTGGTTTCACCCGAACGCAAGCCCCGCGCCGAGCCAGCCAGGCAAAATTCCCCCACTTCCCGCCGCCTGGCGTTATTTACCTCCTGGGTCAAGGTCACCCGGCGCACAGCAGCAGCAGCTCCCTTCTCCTCGGCTGCTCGGACCACCCACCCAAAGCCCTGTGCAATAGATCTCAGCCGGCAGAAGACGGCAGGAAGCGAGGCTCGTTCATCACACAAGCACACACACGCTGCACTGCTTTCTCCCGCCGCCGCCGCCGCCGCCGCCGCCGCCGCCGCCGCTCCTCCGGCGTTTGCAACTCCCTCAAAGCTTTGCTGAAGCGGAGCCAGCGGCAGCGGCGAGAGCGTTTCCCTCCCTCTTTCCCTCCCCTCCCTGGAATGGATCGAGGCTGTCTGTCACGTGGGAAAGTAGAACGTCAAAGGTGCCGCCGCCGCCGCCGCCACATGGCAACTGAGAAAAAAGCTCCCTTTGCGCTCGACTTTCCCGCGGGGGTGGTGGGATTGGACGGAGAGGGCGGGCGGCAAGAAATGACTGACATTGACTGCGGGACGGTGATTTCGGCAAAATGAAGGTTTTGTGGGAAGAAAGCGAGAGAAGCCCCTGTTGCCACCTGTCTCCCTTTGAAAAGAAGCCTAATCTGCGCGCAGAAACGCAACGGGAAATTAAGTCAATTTGCATCAAATCGCCTTTGAAAGGAGACCAAACGGCCGCTTGAGCCCGATTAGAAAACTGGTTCAGAAAGCCCTCCACAGGCATCGATTTTCTCTAACTGCGGCTGACAGCGATTGCGAAGTTCACTTTGGCAGGAGGGGTGGAGAGCTGGAAAGAGCGAAACGTTGAGATAGGCTGGAAAGAGCTATGGGCACAAACGAATAAAATCCAGGATTCCGAGAAAACTTGGGAAAGTGTCTGAGCCGGATTAGAATCGAGAATAAAATCAAAACATTTCATTGCAAAATAAACGCGTGGCAGAGGATTTATCGTGTAATAAAACTCTTGTAGAATTCCTTTTGTGATAAGGGTCTGGTGGTCTACCCTTCCCCTTTTCGAATCCTCTGGTCAAAGGGCATTATGATAATATCACAACTTTCGTCTAAAATTAAGAATCCTGACATTCTAGAGATTAAAGTGCATCTTTATCCCATAAGCTTCCATAATGGATCAGTGTCCATTATATTAAATGCAAGCAATGTTATGTTGAGGAATGAATACTAAAAGCTCTCAAAATGTGGCTTACCAAATTAACTAAGTGGGGTTCGAATGTTGTATGCTTAGTGAACCTGATCACTTCCTCTCTCCCCAGAGATGGGGCAATTTCGACCCCTGCCTGATTTTCAAATATGGTAATGAGGTTCTGGCCCATAATTCATGACTTTCATAATAAAACATGGAGATGATGCATTATTTACTGAGGCCCTTCCTGGTAGCCTAGATTAAGTTGCACTTTTTTTTACCTTTTGAGTGATTGTTGAATTATATTCACAAACATTGGAATCCGATTAGGTAGATAGATGATAGATGATAGATGATAGATGATAGATGATAGATGATAGATGATAGATGATAGATGATAGATG